TTTCCCTGTTCCCTTTCGGTTGCCCCCCGTAGGTTATGAGCCCAAATTAGGTTCCCTGCGGTTGAGTGTTCTCTTAAGATCTTTGGGATCAAGAAGCAATGCCTTCTCCCAAGCGATGGCTCCAACCTTCCTCGGATGGTGGACAGAATGGTGGAGCTGGAAATGGTGCAGCTGAGTCTCTGGGTGAAAGGGCGGTGCTGGAAGAGGTGATGCCTGGCGCTGAAGAACATCTGGAAGAAGCCTTGGTTGCAGAAGACCCCAATGTGGGTATGAATCCCAATGTGGATATGGTTAGCAATGCTGAAGCTGAAGGACGTGCTGTTTCTGTATCGCCAAAGCCTGGTGAAAAAAGGAACTGGGACGCGACTGGTGGTATAGACCGTGAAATGGAGGTGACTGTTTTACGCGTGTTGCAAAAACATGGGTATCAGCCGTCGACTTCGACTTCGGGCCGAATGGTAGACCAAGGGTCTCAGACCAATCTGAGTGGAGAGGTGCTGCAAGCTGCCAGGAGGCCTCTGAACAAGATTAAAGGGGATCCCTCGGCGAGTTCCCTGGGTGGTGGAAGCGGTTACGAACAGAAGGGTGCGGAGAGCTTTGAAGCTGCACCAACTGCTGAATACGCCATGGGGGAGGAGGAGATCTTACAGATGGAGGCTGAAAGGTTGCGCCAGTTGTCAGAAGAAGAGGATGAGATGCGTCAAGTCTCTGAAAGGGATGGTTTTCGGAAAGATGAGCATCTGATCAAAGCGTGCGATGGGACAACGTGGGAATGGCACTTCCACGAAGATGGGAGACAATATTTCTACTGCCTGGATACGCAGGAAAGCAAGTGGACGTTGCCGGTTGTAGGTGAAAAGATGAAGAGTGACGAGGTGGTTGGGTCTCCTTCGGGCAATGAGCTGGAAATGGAGGCTGCACTGGGTTCTTCATCCTCTACTCCGACGCCTGAGTCTACGAGGGCATTCCAGGGTAGTGTAAATAGTGTAGGTGAAAAAGATTTTTCCTCTACTATCAGGGATAGCGGTCCTAGGGCTGGTGGTGACGCCCCGACCTCGGGTTCTCCTGATGAGGAGGGGATTCCTGGAAACCGAGCAGACATCGCTGGAGCTCAACATCTGGATCGGGAAGAAATGGAAGCGCTTTCTGAGGGTGTGGCAGCGGTGGAATCGGTGGGTCCAGAAGAAAAAATGCCCAATGTGGAGATCGGAACTGTGTCGGCTGCAGAAGAGCGAGTGGTGGATGTGGTACCTGTCGTTCAGGAAGGTGGTCCTGGAGATTTGGAAGACGGAGGGAAAAAGTTGTGTGTTACGACTGAGGAGGTCTCTTCGTTTGGTGCCAAGAATCCTGCCATTCAAGGGGAAAAAGAAGCTTCTGGAATAGCTGGAGACACGGAAGATCTGAAAGATGAGGCCTGGAGCGCCAATGATGCGCGGGTCAATGTGCCAGATAGTACCTGGAGTGCGAAGGAAGCACGGGTTGAGGCGCATATGGTGTCACGTTCCACGGGCGACTGCAACAATGGGGCGCAGGTCTCCGCAGCAGCTGATGACGGAGGTTCACAGGTGGACGCACTGGTGCAACCTGAAGTTAGCTGCGAGGAACGAAATGGCAAGGGCTACACCGGAGCCGATGAGGCAGCTGTGGTCAATGATGGTGGCAATTCTCCTTTGGAAACCATGGAACCAAAGGAGCCTGCGGTGGAAGAAAATGTACCTGCCGCAGATGAGCAATTCAATAGCCCTGCAGTGGAAGAAAATTTGCCTGCTGCAGAAGGCATGACAAAAGACTCCAATGATGGGTCCACTCCCATGAAGGGAGAAGTATTGCCGTCTGGAAGCTCGCCGGAAGTCGACACCGAGCGAACTGCAGCAGATGAGGCAAGGCCATTGGCTGGCAAAAAGGAAGGTCCTGAGCCCCTGGAGCACAAGATGGATGATCTTGTGGGACTCGTGCAGGAGCCGGACGAGCAGTGTGACCCAAAGGTGAAGACAAAGGATGCGCCAGGAGCCGATGATACAGAGATGGTTTCTGAAGAGCATGCAAAGAAAGTGCCCCGAGCGGGGCCTTGGAATCACCTGGGGAACATTGCTACCAAGAGGGAGATGAGATCATGGGTCTAGTGCGCTGCATCAATGGGTATGGAGCCTTTTTGGACCATGGTGATGTGAATGTATTGATTCCTGCAGAAGGGAACAACGCACATCAGTTCAAATTTGGTGATACTGTCAATGGAACAGTGAAGCGAGTGGAAGATGATGGTACCATAATCTTGGACACCTTTCTGGTTTTGGAAGAGGACGAGTAGTAATTTTGGCGGGAGCGTCTAGTGGATAGGCCCTTGGACTCCTGAGCACTGGTTCCGTGGACCTTTCAGGGCTGATGCCCAAATCACACAAATGGAGGCTTCACGCGTGCTTGCGTTGCACACGGACCGAAAACAAGAAATCAAGCGGGAAAAGCAAAAACAGGCCACGCAGCATGCATTGCAGAAACGGTTTCCGAAAGCGGTGAAAATCTCGAGTGAGGAGAGCTGGGCCAAACCCAGGACCAATAGAACGTCCTCCGCCCCAGGACCCCCCGGCGAACCTGTTGAAGTCTCCTGAACACTGGCCTGACAACGTTGAAAGGCGGGGCCCCCTGGGAAAACAAACCAAATGCCTGGGACCCCCTCTGGACGACCATTCACCTCCCAGGACCCCCTGGACCTCCTCTCCTGCAACCTGCCTGGACCATGTGACCCCCTCCTCTACCCCCACTCACACCCCTTCCCAAACACCCAAAGAAACATGGCCCTCGCAAGCCCTGACTCGCACAAACGCACACTGGGGCCCCACGTACAAGAACTCGACATGCAATGTGGCAGCATTACGGCACAGTCACTTGACATGAGTGTATACGTGGAAGCACGCTGTCTCTCGCATCACAATCACAAGGTCACAAGGGCATTTTCACCGCGGCTCGAAGCTGGATAATTTTCAAACGGGTGTATCCCGGCCTGTCAACGCACATTGCATGAGCAAGCAATGTGTGTGCTCAGCACAGGTGTTGACGGACCCACGGTTCCCACTGCCCACTCCTCTCGCCAAAGCCCGAGTGCTCAGCTGCTATAGGCTAAACTGTACTGGCTTCGGCTTCGGGTTTAGGGTTTAGGGTTGTAGGTTAAAGGCTAAGCGCATACGAAGGTATTGCACAGTAACTGCCACTGCCACTTGTAGGCTATGCGTAGTCTAGACGTCAGAAGTGTTGGCACTCACCATGGGTCCTCACCCTCGCAGAGCAAATCATTCTCGCAGATCTCCTTCGATCTCACAGATAAACAGAAAACGTGCTGCGACCCTACTTCCTCTGGCGCTTTGCAGGGGGGGACCTGGGCTTTGTTGCAGGTGCTGACTTGGGGGGCGCCGCGGCCGCCTTGGGCAAGTTGGGCGCTGCCAGCTTCTTGGCACTAGCAACTTTGGGGGCAGGCGTTGCTGAAGGCGTGCCTGCTGGGGTCGCTGACTTCTGGTTCTCTGCACGGTCACGCTTGCCCGCGCCTTGCGATCCCTCGGTCTCGGGGCCCCCAGCAGGCCCATGAGCTTCAGCCCCAAGATCTGGAGCTGGCAAAGCCAGCATGCCTGGGGCAGCGGCTGCGCCTGCTCCTCCTGCCGACGGTGCTTCAACTGTCATCGGGGCATGTTCTGCTGACAGTGCCGCCGACGCGGGGCTGGCTTGGGAGGCTTGCGAGACCTGGGTGGCCTGGAAAGCATAACGGGCCGAAGAATCCTGGATGGGCCCAAGCGACCGTTGCTCGCAAGCCCTTGCAAGGTGCCACCGGCTTCGATGGATTCCACGATGGAAATCCTCCAGCCGTGAACCAAGGAACCATTCAAGGATCTTTCACTGTAGATGGAACCGGTTGGGAGGTACATCAAGGATCCTGCTGGGCATGTTACACGATACGCCACAACACCTGCTGCCTCGGAAAGATGCGAAAGGCCTTTCGCATCCAAGTGATCATGCAGGAAGGTGGCAAACAAACGCATTAAGGGGACCCCTTGGCTTTGCGAGCTTGCATCCGAGGTTGGTGGAACAAGTTCTTCCTTGTCACAGATGACGTTCATCATCTGCTCAGCCTGCTTCAAGCTCACAACGGTGATCTCACGTTCGCCTTTGCATGTGAAACGCAGGCTGCCTAACCCCAAGACTTCGTAGGATGTACGCACCATGTCACCAGTGGAACCCCACATGGAAACGCTGTTCAAATCCATGCTGTGATTGAACTTGCACATTGAAGGAGGGGCCAACTCGAGAAGCTTCTCGCGCACGGATTCCGATGCTGGGGCAGGGCAGTGCGAATAGCCATCGTCGAGCGCTCCCTTGCTGTTGGGGAACTGTGCCTGCCAAAGCCAGGAGGCATCGTAGCGTGTAATTTTCATTGCGTATGTCAATGCCTTGACCCGATTTCTCACTATCAGGCTAAGGCCTCAGCCGAAAAAAAACATCCGCTGACTTTCTATCTCCACGTCGGCACCACCATAAACAAATCGTACGCGAATACAGATTCAACATGTTCCAAATCAGACTCTCAAACATCAGACACTTATTGCATTGTGCCTGACGGGGGTCTGGAAACAACTCACACGACATGTGACCAGAGCTAGCTACCGCATTCGCACCAGCCTATCCAACCCTGCCCAGTACCCAGCCTTGAACAACGAGAAGTTCACCTTTGCCGCGGAAGCGGCCTCTTCTGCTTTCAGAGAAGGCACGTCCAGGATGATAAAAGGCTTGCTGAAGTCGTGCGCGGCCATGCCCGCCCGGTATGCCTCCACCGTCTCGAAAGTAGTGACTGGTTTCACCCAAGCACCACAGTAGGAGAGCAACCCTGGAAGTTTGTCTGAACCTTTCATTTGGTCAGCGATGTTGCGCAGGCGCGCTCTCTCATCCTTTTCCCGTTGTCTCTCGGCCGCTGCTCGCTCTTTCTCTTGTTGCGACTGCTGTCGGGCACTCTCTCTGCGCTAGTCGCGGCTCTGTTTGGCAAGAACGGAAAATGTGCTCTTGACATTTCCCACCAATGCCTTCATCGAATCCATGGCATCTTTGAATGCTGTCTCCACCCCTTTCACACCATCCTCTGAGGACTGCAGGCGGAGGTTCACATCAAAGCGGGCTGCAAACACTTGCACGGGTGCCATCTTCTCCATGACCTCCGGTTCGGCCAGTGGCTTGGCATTGGCCAAGAATTGCTGATGCGTCGCCAGGAAAAAAATCTTCAAGTATGTTATCGTGCTCACCATGGCAACATTGTCCTGTAGATCCTTCAACGCCGGGATCTCATCTGCGAAGCCGCTGCCTGCCCAACCATGAAGCGACATGACGCTCATCAAAAGATCCTTCTCCATGTATTCCACAACCTCGCCATCTGCGCCTTTGATCTTGAAGTCACACGCAAAGATGTCGCCCACGTACGCAGACAAACCCTTCACTGCCTCCGAAACAGCATCGGACTCAGGCTCTGCCCCCTCTGCAATGGCAGCAGTATCTTTGCACTGCTCCCAGAGCCTCACTGCGGCTAGGAACTGCAGCCGCCAACCATCCTCGACAAAGGAACGCAACAAGTCAGAGCGCTCCTCCGCCTCAAGCCCAAAGCAGTCCTCACTAAAGGTGAGCTTCGTAGGCACGGTCTTCTGATCCCACGACGCCTCAACAGCCAGGGCGCGGAGCACAGCAAGGCGCCACTTTACCTGATGAAGAACCCTGCCCATCTTGCTCTGGTTGCCCTCGGGCTCCTTCGCGATGAACTCGTTGATCTCGGACACGGTGTCTTTCATCAATTTCACCGTTGCATCCAACTTCTTCTTCATCCGAAAGTCGTAGGAGTCGACCACATCTTCCAGCACGAAGGCCTTCTTCTTTGCTTTTTTCTCCTTCTGCTCCTCTTGGCTGCCTGCACTGTTGCCGGCAGCCTTCTCACGGAAAGCGGCAGCGGCAGAGGTACCAAACATGAAGGAGTGACCGGTGCCGTCTGCTATTGCGCTGCCACCTCCATCCCTCAAAGACTGCGTCGCCGATGATGTTGCGCCCATCTGGCTGAAAAAGCGGTCACTGAAATGCAACGATGAGGCTGCCAAAGATCCCTCCGCGGCCGCAATGTCGGATGCCTTCGGCTTCTTCTTTACCTTGTCGTTCAACTGAATCTGACTGGCATGACTCAGGCCCTGGGAACCGATCAACACATCGATGTCGTGAGCAAAGATCCACGGCTCCATCTTCCTGCCCGGCAGTGTGGGCTTCTGGATGACTTTATCCTCAGGGGTTGCCGCCAGGAGTCGTTGCCATTCCTCATTGGCTTCCACAGGATCCCACCCCCACTCCTCCTGAATCTTCTTGGTGTACATGCGAGCATTGAAGGACTTGGACTGGAACTGCCCGGTGAGGCTGCTCTCCTGCTTCAAGATATCGCTGGCTTGCATGGAATCGTACGAGCCCGTGGCCCGCCCGGAGCCTGGGTTGCCACCTTTGGCCGGAGTGGCGTGAATCAAGGTGTTCACCCACTCCGCATTCTGTGCTTTGCGCATCCCCATGAACTTCTTCCATCGCGCTGGGTTAGGGTTGCTCGTCTGCTGCTTCTTCTCTTCGGTGTACAAATTGTCAGACACACGCTTGTGGATGTCACACAGGGATCCCTTGGTCGCAGGCGACTTGCAAGCCAAGCAAAGCTTCACGGGCGTGGGTTGGCTGTCCGTGGGCGAGATGGGTGTGCCTTGACCAGCTCCTGCTCCGCAGGAAGGCCTCTTCTGCGGTGTCTCTGGATTCACGCCCCCGCCCTCATCTTCACCCACTAGTGCGTCTTTCACTGACGACATCTCCTCAAGCAATCTGTCCTCATCTTGTTCAAAGTTCAAAGACGAAGCAGCAATCCCACCACTGCCTGAGACTGAGTTGGCCATGCTGACAGTGGAGCCACGCGGGCACGCGGGAACCGACGCTGCCAAGTCCAAGCGCAATGCCCTGCCGCTAGCCTAGCTACCTTTTACGCAGCACAAAGTCAAAAAATGCCCTGCCTACGCTGAATGCCGTCTACACTCACATATTCTCGTCACATCACCCCAAAGAGCTCTGATTCTCGCGAGAATAGTACGTTTTTACAGCGCAATCACTGTGGGTAGGAGTGACATGTCCAACATGTTTCGGTTGCGTTTCTGCTGGGCATGTCCTGCAAAAGCGCCAGGCGGCCGAGCGCGAGAGTATGTGGCATCCTCACTTGAGTGAGAGAGAGAAAGAGGTAGACACAGATTCACCCTCGGACGCAGCACTACTACAGGCAAGGAGTGATGAATGAGTTACTGCGTGGCTCAGCGTCACTCACCGACCTCTTTCTGTCAGCTATGGGCGCAGTCAAAATCAAGACTAAGGTTGACTAAAGAAACTCATGAGAGACTCCACAGCAACGGGAACATGCTGCATCGACCAGCTACTGCGAAGCTGGGATCAAAACTGGCCGCTTCGTGACACCTCCTGCGCACACCGGCAGTGGCTCCTGACTCACGCCAACCTAAGCTTCTTTGCAGGCGCAGGTCGAGGCTGAGGCTCGACAGCGACTGCTTCATTCGTCTGGCAAGCACTGTCTGGGCTCTGAGATGCAACTGCAGCCTGCGCAGATTGGCTGCTCTGCGCGGCGCCACTCGAGGCGTCTTCCGGCAACTCGGATTCAAGACCCTGGCTCTCCACGTCTTCTGCTGTGTACCCTCTGCGGAAACTGCTCAACTGCAATTCTTGCGGTATGCGGGCCACTGAGCAAAGGAAGTACGCCATAACCGCATGGAGGACTTGAAGATGCATGGCATTCCCTGCAACGTCCTTCCATGCGCCCGAGTTCATCCTGGTCTCCCACGCAAAGTCACGGAATGGACAGACATATTTGCAGTCCACGTTGGGCAAGGCATTCTCACCTTACATGTTCCATGAAATCACAACCCCTGCTAGGGCCTGCAACCTAGAATCTGCAATGTGGAACATTCACTCGGTACCATTGTAGGAGCAGCAACAAGCGGTAAACAAACAGCTACTTTTGCCGGGGCACCCATCATCAGCAGATGCTCCAAGCTGGTGGCCACGAACTCCTCCCTCCCGTGCACAATCTTGCCATGACTTAGCAAGCAAGGCGCCAGCACAGACACGTCACCGAAGCCAACCTCCTGATCCACGTCTGCACAAAAGAATTCGCCTGGCCCTAGCCCGCGTTCCCCGGCCACTTTCTGGTATTCTGCAAACCTGCGAAACTCTGCTGGGGTTAGCTGTTCCTGCAAACTTGGCTGCTGGCCTGGCTTGTGATACCACCCCTGCTTCTTCGCCATGTGCTGGCTTACCTCGCAGCGGTGCTCGGCCGATGCTGCGTAGAACACGGCCCCTGTCAACTCACAGCGGCTTCCCATGACCTGAAAGAACTCCTCCCAGCTCCCAAGGTGCACTAGCTTACCGCGTAGGACTCCCACTGAATACTGCCTCTGTCTTTGCACGGGAACTCCTAGGTGGTGTGGGCTCACACAGGCACACGTCAAGATGTCGTACAAGTCACCCAGGTCCTTCTCCAAACGCTCGGCGGCCTCTGAGGAGCATGTGATCTCATGAAGAAACATGTCAGGCTGGCGATGGCGCACCATTCCAAGCCACACAACGTAGGACCGTGTGTTTGGCCCTGCAAACCCCTGCCGGGAACCTCTGCGAGACACATCCTTGCAGGTCTGCCCCGCCACGAACATGCACAGTTCACCCTTGCTCGAGGGCTCTGGCCACACTGCGCAGCCATGCAACTTTCCTGGATGCATGCGGCACGCAGCAGTGTGCTGAGCAGGAAACGCGCGGGCTAGATCGTTCTTTAACAACTCATTCATGGCATCGTAAGCATGTTGACGCTGGACTGCTGATTGGGACTTTGCCGGACACATACGATCCAGCTCAGTGCGCACTTCTGGACTCAAGCACTCCTCCATGGCTCCAAAAATGCACCGTGGTCTGCTCTCTGGACTGTGCGACTGCAGCACCTTGCAAGCAAAATCCTTGCTGTCGAACGCAGATGCAGTGTACCATGGCACACTTTCAGCAAGAACGCCTGCATCCAGCAGCGCTTGCCGCAAGTGGGCTAGGCACGTTTCAGCCGTGCCCTTTCCAGAATATTGCGTGTGCAAACACAAGCCGTTGGCCACAAGTGCTTGCAAACGTGCCCTACGCTCGGACCCATGCTCTCCTTCCAAAAGGCGTGTGAAAACCATGTCGGGGAAGTTCAAAATTTCATTCAGGCTGCACGGTCCTGGCCTTGACCCATGCACCTCCTGCTCCTGCAAGTGGCCACGTCCATGTTCCTGGCCCTTCTTCGGACCCCGACCCCGACCCCGGCCCCGACCCATGGCACAAGCACTCTACTCTACCCGCGCCCAGGCAATCAAAGCGATGGTCCAAGTGTTTGCTTGCGTGCTTGAAGTGCATCGTCTAATCCCTTGTCCTTGCCCACAAATCATGTCTGTCTACATCTCGAGCAACTACAGTGAAAGCGCAAACCACGCATCCACTGCGCTGCAAGCTGTTGGGCCACACGCTTGCACTTGCGGTCACTTGCGGCACTTGCGGTCTCTCTATCACCGCGCAAACGATGGATGCCCATGGCCTATCTGGGCTGCCTGTGGCCTGCCTGTGTCACTTCACGCTCCATACGTACTGCTTACTGGTTGATAAGCAGCACACACACACACACCCACAAGAGCGTCACACACACACACACACACACACACACACACACACACACACACACACACACACACACACACACACACACACACACACACACACACACACACACACACACACACACACACACACACACACACACACACACACACACACACACACACACACACACCACACCACACACACACACACACACACACACACACACACACACACACACACACACACACACACACACACACACCACACACACACACACCACACACACACACAC